AAAAAGAAAAGGAGGAGATAAACACACTGCAGACGACAGTCTTCAGTCCCGTTCTCCTCCTACCCACGCCACACATTCAACTCAACGCCAGTTGGCAAGGGCTTCGCATCGCCCTACAAGTCAAAGAAACAACACCACCACCACCACCGCCACCACCACCACCACCACCACCAGCAGCAGCAGCGGGGAGAACACGAGAGCAATCGCAGCACACAACAAGCAATAGACAAAAACAAAATACAAAAAGAAAAACAGTCGATAAACAACTGTTGGCGCCAGGAGTGAGCAGAAAGGGCAAGGAGGAAAGAGACAAAATCAAAAACGAACGCCTCACCAAAAGGGGTACCAACCAGACCAGGACTGCGCGACATTTGTGATGTCTGTCGCCTCCACTATGAGACGGGCCACCTGCACCTTTGGATTCATGCTTGCGGCGGACCATGTCGTGTGCAGAAAATCTTCACCCTTTAGCTTTGAACGCACACGCCCAAAGATGGTGACGCCCTTGTGGAAGATGTCAATCTCTTCCCGCACAGATGCATAACGGGCGGTTCGTATAGCCTCGGTTGAGACACTATCCCTGGGCGGCTCCCCTCTGAACACAGCGGGTGAGTAGAGTTTTCCTGGCTCCATCTGCTCAAAAGGCCGGCCTTGTGTCGACGACTCTGGTTCCTCTCCTTGCCGGTTCAGCAGGCGCCACGAGATCAGTGGATCTTGAATAAAGGCCTCCAGTATGGCAAGAACGCTGTGGCTGCCGTCACGCAAGACACACATGGCTATCTCTGCTCTTGTGCGAAACGCCCCATCAACACCCGAAACATCCAACGCGTTGCGCAGCATCCGGGTGAGTCTAAACGGGACCTTTTCCGGAAATTTGTCGCGCGTCATGGCGACCTCAAAACAGTCACCAAAGTCAATGTGGACCATTAACCCAGATGTACGTTGGATCATGATATTATTTGGGTGGCGATCGCCCAAACCTAATATGTACCCCACCACACTTGTGGTTGCCAAGGACGTGGTAAACGCCTGTCGCTGCTCCAACCAAGTCTCACAGCTGGCAGCAGAAGCCCACATCGCCTTGCGAATATCATGCCCCGTCGTATGATCGGCAAGAAACTCCATGACCTCCACCTTTGACATCACACTGAGAAAATCATATGCCCTGGGCTGGTCAAAGACAATGATTTGATTTAACATTCGTAACTCCAACTCAACCGGAACGCCGCGATACGTCCTATACTTACTGACCAACTCGTGAAGGGTGTCGCAGCCACTCACCCAGCCGATGATGCCCACAGTGTCTTTCAATGGAGTGACGGAGTAACGCGTAATCTCAAACCCGGAATTCTTACAGGCTCGTGAGTCCGACATCATAAGTGTGTTCACGAGCCGAAAAAGCTGCATCACACGCTCGTCAAGCCGCAAGTCCTCTCGTCCTTTTAGGAGGTATTTTTGTTTTTTCCCCTCCGTGGTGATCACGCTTAGGCGCTTTGGTCGCTGCTTACTCGCAATCACAACCAGGGTGTCGTTAAAGGAGGCAATGCAGGAGACACTGCCCTCCTCCGTCGGCATGGCGTCCGGAATGCCTACGGAAAGGTTCCTCGCCTCAAAAAGTTTCGGGCTACAAAACGGCAACCGCAATCGATTCCGGGCTCGTATGTGTTCGTCAATCTGTCGATACACGCGGTGATAGATATGCCACGCAGAATGCAAGTCTGCAACAGACCCTGTTCGCGTGTAGGACTGCAGCCATTCATGTGCCTCCTGCAGAATGCTGCTGTACTTGCAGGTGAATTCTGCCTCGACAATGGTCTCCGGCGACCGATGCAGCTCGTCGTGCAGGGGCAGCAAGCTTTCCACCATTTCATGGTAGTGTCGGCGGCCAAAAAAGGCATTGGCGGCGGCGTCCAGCTGGTCGTACCACTTCTCGTACACCAACTCCGAGATGCGGAGTAACTCATCAATAACAAGACGACCTTGAAGGACGATGACGGGGAACTTGGCCTGCAGCTTCTCGAGAATCATGTGTGCCAGCCTCTTGCGCCGCTCAGAGTCAGACATGGCCGACAGGTTCAGTGGGTAGAGCAGGGAGCGCGGGTAATCAAAGGCCACTGGGGTCAAGATGTCCGCAATGAGTTGGCAGCTGTCATCGGACCCAGAGTCCAGGCGAGCGATGAGCTGGGGCACCACCAAGTACCACGCCCGTGCGGAGACGTCTAAGACGCGTTCACGCAACTTTCGCAGCCCCTCCACGGAGTCCAAGGGACGACTCAGCAACGTCAGCAGCTTCAGCACGTCTTGGATCATGGTGGAGTCGGAGTTTCCCAACTTGATGCTTTGAATGTACCCCTCAATTGCGCCGGCGTACGCCGCGTCGGAGTAGTTTATGTTAAGCAGCTCCACGTTCGCCTCGGCGCACATACGCCAGGCGTGAAACCAGTTGGGGTCATACAGCGTCGCGGCCTTGTAGCATTCAATCGCCTCCTGCAGCTCGGCCTTGGTGCCGAGGCGGGCATAGGCGCGGGAGAGAAGCGTCGCGTTCTCCACCGTGGAGTGCGTGTCAATCAGTTTTCTAAGCAGATCGCTCTCAAGGCCATACGGACTCTTTGGCCCCAACTCCCCATTTGCGGAAAGAAAGCTGATGTACTGCATCACTACACGTGGATTGGCGCTGGGGCTCATGAGCTGCTCGTAGTTTGGGCAACGGGAGCCAAGCAGCTGAAACAAGGTGAAGCGCTCCAGCTGCTTCGCATTCTCGCGGCGGCAGAGTTTTACAAAACGCAGTTGTGTCGTGACGTCCTCGCTTGGGGGGATAAGCAGGCCCCGCACACTGAGCACCTGCTTCCACACGGGCACCGTGGGCGACATCATCAAAATACGCTGACTCCACAGACGTGCAATGCTGCAGAAGTGCTGCAGCGACGCCGTCTCCTTGGCGCGCTTCGCCGTCATCACCTCCTCCAACTCGGACAACTTCTGCGCAACGACAAGACTTTCGTAGGCTCTTATGTAGGACTCATGCAAAAGCCCGGCAAGATCATCTAGCAAAAGCTTGCGGCCCTCGTCTACCGCCAACGAGGCTTCATCGTACTGGCCCTTGTGAATACTCAGCGCCGCCCGCGAGATGTGGTAGTGCACGCTATCCTGCGGCATCCACAGCAGCGCGTCCTCCAACGTGCCCCACGACTGCAGCCGGATGGAGGCGTCTGCGGCATACTGTGAGACGTAAAAAAGGATATTTTCCTCACTCTCCACCTTCTTCCCCTTGTAGCGTTTAAACAAATCCTCCCACTGCTGCAGCACCTTGTCGTAGTCGCCAAACTCGCTGAGGCTCATCATCTGTCGCACCCCCCGCTCCAGCTGGAGGTCAAGCGCGGCGTCCTCACCACGAAAGGAGGCATTGCCGTCGGAGATCGAACGGCCCGCGACGCCACAAAACCTTCTAAAATTCTTCGATCGGTACGGCAACGGCTTCACGAGGCTTTCACTGCTCGTCTCTGAACCCATCATGTCCTTGTCGACCTCGCGCTGCGTGAGCCGCAGCGCCTCCGTATACCCCGCAAGTTTCAAAATTTCAGACTGCTGCAGTAGGTAGCGCTTCTGATTCTCGCTCGCCCCACCGAGGATACTCACCGCGGAGTCAGTCTGGTGCAACTCACTGTACAGGATGGTGAGGGACTCTATTGTGCTTGCAGGATCCTCGCGGTAGGCGGCCTCACGCCAGTAAAGCGCCTTTGCGAGCATTCCTCGGCGCCACGCACACTCGGAGAGGTCGCTTGCCGCAATCGGAAGCGTCATCCCGACGACGTCCATGTACTCGATGAGGGAAAGCATGCCGGTGACGAAGTCGTCAGGCACAGTGGAGGACCAAGCGGGTTGCTGCAGCGTTTGCCGGAAGAAGTCTAGGATGGAGGAGCGAATAAGGGCGCTGCCAAAACTCCAAAGCGCACGAAACGCGAGGCGCAAGATTTCCTGCGTAAACTCCGGTGATCGCTCCACAAGCGGGGTTGCATTGGTGCCAATAGGCTGTGAAACACAGCGAAACACACGGTAGGGAGACTCCTGCATGACAGATATAGAAAACTGATCAATCCAGCGAAGCCACTCCTCCTTCGTGAGTGGAGTGGTCTTAAGAGTGTTAATGATCCGCTTCTCCGCCAGGGGAAGCGGACGCTCGTCATCGCTAAATACCACAGCTGCGTCCTCCGCGTTGTTTCGCGCAGACCACACCTCTCCAAGGTACGATATCCCTCGCGTGGCCATCAACGCACACTTTTTTAGAAGCGAGACAACCTGATCGTGATACTCCGCCAATGAACTCTCGCGCAGGGCGCAGCGAAATCCTTTCAGCAGCAGCCCCTGCAACGTCGTGAACTCGGCGTGGGAGATGCGGAGTGTCTTGAGTGTCCGGATAACCTCCGAGGAGTACTTGATAAACTCGCCCTGCAGCTTCACCATCAACACACAGAAGACACTCATGATTCGGTTGGTAAAAGACGTGTACTCCGCGTCCCGCGTGAGGGCGGGGGAGTGCATCCGCAGCGCAGAGAGCAGTCCCCGCACAATGACGCCGGTGAGTTCATCAACGTTCAGCGTCCAGCAGACAGTCCGAAGAGCCGTCACGGCGTACACCACGAACTCTACAGAGTTTCCCTGCGTGGCACGAAGGAGGTTCGTCACCACAATCTCGGCACAGAAATAAAGTGTCTCCGTGTGCTTCACAACGTACTCCAGTATGGCGTACCGCAAAAACTCGGAGGAATTGACGTCATTTAGGGCGTCAAGCTTAACGGGAAGTACACGTGCGTCGCCCTGCCGGTACTTCTGGTCCCCCTTTTCCCGAAGGCTAGCAATCGTTGACGCCAGGCGGACGACAAGAAAGCGATAGACAGGGCACCGCTCCCACGCCACATCGCAAAAGGTATAGAGCGTCGCCACGTCCGAAAGCAACGCCGGGCCCACGTACTTTACAATCTGCGTCAACTCATACAAGACAACGCCAAAGAGGCGACCAGGGCCGAGCTCACTGGCCGCACGTACAACAGGGGGGACCACGATCGCCATCCCGGCACGGGAGCATGGGCAGCTTTCACCAATGTGTAGAATAGTTTGAATGCCTACGCGCAGCAAAGAGTCCTTGCTTACTGAGACGCGCTTCTCACCTGGGTCGAGCAGCGAGGCAATGGCGCGCAACACAAGGCGGCAGCACATGGCATGACTAAGTGTATGTGAGGTGCTTCGTTCCAACTTCGTTTGCTGCGCATCGTGGCCCAAGTTCAGTGACTGAAAGACACTTGTGTCCAGAGCTCCAATGGTCCCAGCGCAACGTAGCGCCTCGAGGCGAAGCTTCAGGTCATCGTCGCTGTTCCTTAATATCCCAGAAAGGCGGCGATACAGCTGCGGGTAGACATCGTACGGTGAACGTCCCCCAATTTGAGGACCCAGTGTGGCACCAATGAATCGCAGGCACCACAAACGCGAGGCGGCAAACTCCGTGTCGAGCGGCAGGAAGTCTAACAACTCACACACTCGCTCCACCTCGGCTGTGAAAACAGGTTTGTTGTGCCCAAAAAAGCGCACCGCACGAGCCACGGAGGTGCAGCAGCGAAGCAGTGGCTGCAAAATTGGCGAGTTCGCCTCCAGAGCTGTGAGGTGGCGTCCAAGGACTTTAATGACACCGTCTGTTAAGGTCACCACAAATTGCGGGGCACTGGACGCGACTGCGTCTAACAAGAGCAATCCGTTCAGAATGCTATTTCCATTCTCTTCGGTAGAAAGGGCGTAGAAAATGTGCAATATCTCTTTACGTAAAATGGGCAATATGTGCGACGGGTCGTGGTTAACCATGCGACAGAGCAGTCCTGTGGCGGCGATGCGGCAGTCAATGTCCTCGTCCCCAAGCGCCGAGAACAACTGCGTCAGGAACTGCAGCTCACTCAGGTACGGGTAAAACGACGGGGTGAAGGAGGAGAGAATCGCCGCGCGTATCACCGGGTCTGGATTGGCCAGTCCAACAACGAGCATGCGTGAGACAATCATATCCACGCATATCCTACGGGCCATCGTCAACTCTCCGTTTATGCCGGGTGGGATTAGGAGAGAGACAATGGTGCTAATGGCGGCCCTCCCCACGCTCGCACTCGGGCTATCGATGAGTGGGAGCACCGAGTCACGGAGAAAGTCACCCATAAGCTCAGAGTCGGAAAAACCAAACTGTATCAGCGCATTCAGGGCCACCACAATTTGGCTCTCGGTTGGCTCAGACTCGGGGTAAGTCACCGTCTTTGTTCGCGTCCCCGTCACCTGGCGAAACGGCAGGCCACACAGCGTCACAGAGATCATGTCGAGGAGCGCCTCCTCCAGCTTTGTCCGGCCCTTGACGCTGGAGGAGGCGATAATATCCCGCATGCATTCAATCAGCTGCGAGGACAAACCCCAGTTAAAGACATTTTCAATGCACGGCTCGATGTAACTCTCGACGTCCGGGTGTGGGCACTCTCTAAAAATCACTGAGAAACATTTCAGGGACTCCCAACACGGTGTAGGGGACTTTTCAGAGATAAAGCGGACGGCCTCGCATGTCTCCTTTACAAACTGCATAAAAGCCACTTTGCCAACCATCGGGATAATTTCACTGAACATATCAAAGGCAGCACAGTGTTGAAATAGGTTTCTAATAGACTTAAGCGCAAAACTCACCGTATCCTTCAGGTGATTAATTATAAACAATGTCGTGTTGTACCGGCAGAGCACAACCAGGCAGTGAAAGAGAAGCTTCCGCATAAGCTCGGAGTTCGCCGAGGACCCACCTGACATTATATAGGGTACTAACATAATGGACAAGTCTTCATACCGTGGCTGCGACGAACCACCTATTGAGCTCATCACCACGGTCTCAAAGGCCAGCAAACCAGCCACGTTGGACTCGCGTGACTTTGCGGCAAGCTTCGCCTTGAGCTGAGACAGCAGCGTGTCCACCGTTTTCGCACGCAGTGTCGGGGAGCGGCTACCAAGTAGTTTTCCACACGTCCTAAACAGTTGTGCGGAGGTGTCGCGTACCATCTCATCCGACGAGGCCAATCCACCCCACAACTTCTCACAGAGAGTGCCTAGCTTGGGCAGGATCAGCATTGGAATGCGCAGCGCCACCTGCTCCAGAACTAATAACCCGCATATCCTCCTAGCCCGCATGCTGGTGTCCGACTGCTCAATCCACGAGAGCGTCTCATCAATCTCCACACGGGCAAAGTCGGAGGTCATACTCGTCAGAAGCGTCTCAACAAATGTTCGCGCCGCCGCCGGCGCGATGGACGTGTCGCTGACCGCACAGAGGCACAGTCTGGCGTAGCTGTTGCATTGCGACATCTGAATCGTCGTCAAGTCCAGCCTAAGCAATATGTCGAGCACGGTGAGCGCGCACGGAATCTCTGGCGCGTCCTTCCGCACCACGTCAAAGTTTTCCAAACAGATTAACAAGGAAGAAACTGTGTTTTCATATTCCTGAAGATTTTTACGTTGAAGCTCCTTCGTCCGCTTGATCTCCTCCTCCACCATATATGTACGCCTCTCTGGGTCATTTGCGATTCGGCGGATGGTCGACGCCAAGCTATCCTTCCCAGACGCCGCAAACATTGCCGTTTACGGAGACAAGCGTGTGTGTGTGTGTGTGTGTATATATATATATA